ACTGCTAAGGCAGCTGCACCCGGTGCAACCATCACAAGACACCCGAGAACTCGAAAGGCGAGGCTTCACCACCCATTTATCCCTCCGCCTTTCAACCAGACCCACATGTGATTATCGGCCAGGCTGGCACAATTAACTAACTCATATATATATACACCATTTTAAAAAATTAGGCTAAAACCCATATGACAATTAGAACTGCTAGCATATACTGTGTTTACAATTTTCTTGCAATTTTTTTTAATATTCTGTTTCTTCACTCATTAAAAAAAGAGGACCCTGATTCAAACAAAACAATGTCAAAATGACAGAGTTAGGAGTTTGGGAATACGTAATTATGAACTTGACATTTACATGGGATTATTACTTTTTAAAGTTAATCATTAAGTTAAAAGTATAAGTATGTAGTTTTAAGAGATGTAGACACTGTTGGTAATAATAACTACATTTACCAGAGCTATTCAAGAATACAATATCAGGAGTTAAACTAGATAAATTTTCAATTATACCATTTCATGCTCAGGTTAAGTCTATACTTAAGATCTTAGATCAGGGTCCATTTTCCACATGGGAAAAAGGAAGCATAAGCAAGTTGTGTCAGCTTTTAAAGCCAAGTCTTTTCAAAGGCTGCACTTAAAGCCAACAACAATGATGTCTCAGGACCAAAGAAAGCAGCTCTGGGGCAATGAGCAGCTCTGGGAAATCCTGCGGGTGATCTTGTTAATCTCACTAGCCAACTCCACTTAAAATTTTCTATTTCACTTTTAGATTTTAAAACACAGTACTGAATTACTCACACTGCCGGATTACATTTTCCATGTCAACTACTAGTTTGGTTGGTGGGTTGGTTTTATCTCTGTATAATGGACTCAGTAGTAGTGAGCCCATTATACACAGCCGAACAATGCATTTTTTTCTTGCTGTCTCGGTTTTTAGGTCTGTTCCTGGGGTTATTTGGAACCCTGATTCAGAAAATTGCATTAAATAGACTGCATCAGCTCCAGTTTCATAGTTACATTTTCCCTCTATATCAGGGGTTCTCAATCTGGGGGCCGCGACCCTATTGGGGTCGAACAACCCTTTCAACAGGGGGTGCCCAACTCATAACAGTAGCAAAATTACAGTGATGAAGTAGAAGCAAAAATAATTTTATGGTTGGGGAGGCAGGTTGCCAAAACATGAGGAACTGGATTAAAGGGTCTCAGCATTAGGAAGGTAGAGAACCACTGCTCTATATTTTCAGTTATTAAATGATACTAACTTATTAATTAATCATGCTCATTGTAAATATGAGAAGAATTCATGACAAGACCAAAAAGGTAAGAAATATTTGAAAAAGAATTAGCAAGGAGAGTTGTCTATGGACCCAGGGTGGCTAGGTGGTGACACCTGGAAGTGCTTATCACAGTCTGTGGCTCAGACGTCAGTCACTCTGCAGCCTCTAAAATAGGTAAAGGTTTGGAAGCCCCAAAGGGCAGTTCTCTGTCTTCTAGGGTCATCGTGAATTATAATCCGTTAGAGGGCAGTGGGATTTTACTTTGGGGACGGGAGGCTGCATGATATGTACAGAGACTCCAGACTGGGAAGCCAGAAAACAGTTGAGAAGAGGGGAAAAGAAAATTGAAAAGGCACATACATGGAAGGTGCGAGAGCAATTTAGTGTCAAAAATATAATTTAGTGTCAAAAATGAAAATATTGTACCATTTTAATTTTAATGGAGGTGTTCAAACTGTGACAGACCCATTTGAGTTTCAGAATATTTAAATCACATTTAAATCTCTGTTTATTGGATCAAACTCACTATCATTTTGTTGATTCTGACTCATAACAAGCCTGTAAGACAGAGTGAAACTTCTCCTGTGGATTTCTGAGGCTGGAAATCTTTATAGGAGCAGAAAGTCTCATCAAGTTTGTGTAATTTGTAGAGTTCTTTGGATCAAAGGACAGCATGTGAGGTCTATTTAACTCACATATTTAGTGTAATACAAACTATTGTAACTAAAGCCAGCATATACTTCTAACTTAGGCTAGCTAACACTGCATTAAAATATCCCAATTTTTTATGGGTAAGTGCCAAAAGTGGAGTGAAAAGCAGAGTGAAGAGTGGTGTAGGGGGAAAGCTGTTTATTCCTTAGGCAAATGGACAGGACCATGACTTTCCATGACTCGGTTCATCCGGGAAGCAGATGAAGCAGCTGCTGGCCTGAGATAAACCAGACACCTCACCTCTGTTCCCTGGCAAAAGCTGCAGAAAGCAGCCATCTACAAACTTCTCAGTTACTTCATGTTCTTAGCTTCATCCTCCCCTCCCATCTATGAATAACTTGATCATAGTGTTAATGTTCCTTTGCACACTCTTAAAGAATTGTAAATTGTCTTTCTGTGTAAGCCTGTCATGTGTTGCAGGCTGCATGCAGGGAATGTATGTAAGCCTGCCTCTAATAAAGTTTGAGACCCTGAAATCTCTATGCTTCAGGGACCCCCGTGCATGCTCCAACTTCATCTCTCCTTTTCTTTTATCGAAAAGTTTTCTCATTGCAGATTTTACCCTTATTGAACTTCTTAGTAATATAAGATAAGAGCTGTCCTCAATATTGTCTTACAGGACGGTATGTGACATATGTTCTGTATCTCAAAAACCAGAGCTGACAGGAGGAAACTGGTACCATTTTTGGAATCAGCAGGCCAGATATAACCCCAAACAAGTCTAAGACATCGAAGTGTGTTGGCCAGTATTAGCATGCATTTCAGTGGAGGAAGCCTGTCGGCTCGGTGGATTCCTAGTGGGGTTGCTGACCAGAGGTCACATTTCAGAACCACTCAGCCTTGCCTTGGAGGGAAGATGAGCCGTTCTTCTTCAGTGACGATGGAGTCTCGGAAAATCCACAGGGCAGTTCTACTGTATCCCAGAGGATCACCGTAAGTCAGAATCCACTCAGTGGCTGTGAGTGAGATATTTTTCTTTCTTTTTTAAAAAATCATTTAATTAGGGGCTCATACAACTTTTATCACAACCCATACATACATCAATTTTGTAAAGCACATTTGTACATTCATTGCCCTCATCATTCTCAAAACATTTCCTCTCCAATTACGCCCCCAGCATTAGGTCTTCATTTTTCCCCTCCCCCCTCCCCCCTCCCTCATGAACCCTTGATAATTCATAAATTATTATTTTGTCATATCTTTCCCTGTCTGACGTCTCCCTTCACCCACTTTTCTGTTGTCCGTCCCCCAGAGAGGAGGTTATATGTAGATCCTTGTAATTGGTTCCCTCTTTCCAACCCACTCTCCCTCTACCCTCCCAGTATTGCCACTCACACCACTGGTCCTTAAGGGATCATCCGCCCTGGATTCCCTGTGTTTCCAGTTCCTATCTGTACCAGGAGTGAGGTAGTTTTCTATCTTAAGCCTTACCCTTAATCTTTCTTTATTGAATAGCAACAACCTTCCAAAGATCTTTCTAAGGTCAGACAAAGGTTGCTATGTTAGATATACTTATCCAAAGACATCTATAAACAGTTTCTCTTTGAAATATATAAATATTTATTTATTTTTACCAGGCATCTTTTTTACTTTTTAGGTCATGACTTTTTAAAAAATCATTTTATTGTGGACTCGTATAACTCTTATCACAATCCATACATCAGTTGAATCAGGCCTCTTAGTACATATGTTGCCCTCAATCTTTCCTAGACATTTATTTTTTATTGAGCCCTTGGTATCAGCTCTTTCCGCCCCCTCTCCATTCCTCCCGCATAACCCCCTGATATTGTACTTTGCTAATATTTTCTTCTCTCACACCAGCTGCTGTCTCCCTTCCCCCATGTTTTCTGTTGTTCTTCCCCGTGTAGAGGGGTGTATGGTTATGTGGCGATCATCGCGGTCAGTTCCTCCTTTCTCCCTCCTCTCCCCCTCTTCCCGCTACCCTTCTGGTATCAATATTCCCACTCCTGTTCCTGGAATCGGTGTGTCCTGAGCTCCCATCTCTTATCTAGGCCTGTGTACATGTTCTAGTCTGGTATGAATTGGGAAGCAGCACTGGGGTCATAGTAGTAGGCGGTGAGGAAGCCTCCAGGAACCAGAGGAATCCAGTGTGTTTCATTGATGCTTTACTGAACCCTGGTGACTCATCCCTTCCCTGTGCCCCCTCTGTGGGGAGATGGTTCCACTGTCTACAGATGGGCATTGGATCTTTGCTCCAGTGCCCCTCATTCTCAGCAAGATGTTTTTGTTTGTTATGTGTCTGCTGATGCCTTTTACCCGGTCCCTTTGACTCCTCATGATCGCACCAACGGTGTGTTTCTTCCATGTGGACTTGTTGCTTCTCTGCTGAATGACGGCTTGTGTAACTTCAAGCCCTTAAGACCCCAGATGCTCTATCTTTTAATATCCCAGAACCATTTGCCTTCTTCACCACATTTGCTTATACACCCATTTTTTCTTCAGTGATTGTGTCGGGAGGGTGAGTGTCTCACACTGCTGTTGGTTGGAACGAAGTGCTCTTGTATTGAGGGAGGGTATGAGCAGAGACCCAAAGTCCATCCCCTACCTCAGTGTATTGCTGTGCAAATCTATGTACATGAGCCAATACCTCTATTTTTGTGGATTAATGTCTCTTCTTCAATAATAAGTAAGTACATTGAAGTCAAAGACATGTTTTAAGATAAAATAGCTATATATATTTAAATGCCTTTTATGTCCAAAAACCTGTACTCTTATACCTTGTGTAGATTTTAATTAGAGTTATATTTCGAAGAACTTCAGGACATGTTTTAATTAGATAACTTTTAAAATATTTCTTATTGCCATGTTGCAATCACACATTAGTCCTCAGGTACTGTATTTATGACTTACATAAAAGTAAAAAACTTCCCTTTACACCCACTTCCCCTCCTCTCCAGGGCCGCTCAGGCTGCACTGTGCTTGCTTTGTGAGCTACTGGTTCCTGATAAGCTATAGAGCTACTGCTGTCTCCCTTTAGTCACCATCATGATCATCTACCGGGACCACATCAGCCATGATGAGATGTTCTCCGACATCTACCAGATCCAGGAGATGGCACACGGGCTGTGCCTGGAAGTGGAGGGGAAGATGGTCAGTAGGTCAGAAGGCAACATTAATGACGTGCTTATTGGTGGCAATGCCTCACCTGAAGGCCCCGATGGCGTTGGAACAGAAAGCACAGTGGTCACTGGTGTTGATATTGTCATGAACCATCACTTGCAGGAAACCTGCTTCACAAAAGAAGCCTACATCAAGTCCATCAACAACTACATCAAACCAAGCAAAGGCAAACTTGAAGAACAGAAACCAGGAAGAGTAAAGCATTTTATGACAGGGGCTGCAGAACAAACCAAGCACATCTTTGCAATCAAAAACTATCAGTTCCTTATTGGTGAAAACATGAATCCAGATGGCATGGTTGTTCTGCTGGACTATCGTGAGACTGACCGGTATGTGATCTCTTTATGGATGGTTGAGAGATGGAGACATGTTATCACAGTGGGCAACTCGTGGATTTATGGATTGTCGTCCTAACCAGCTGCTGTTCATCCCCGCAACACTAGGACATAGACGAGTGGAACTGGCATTGTCTCGAGCTCCTCGTTTACTTTTGACCTGGATTTAGACATTACTTTTGACCTGGAACCAAGACATTTTTCTTTTCCAAAGGATCAAAAAGAAAAGTGTCGTGTAGGTTGTCTAAAAATAAAATGCATTTAAACTCAGATAAAAGAAAATAAAAGCAAGAAATGGAGAAATATAGCTTTAGAAAAATATAGTGGGCTAAATATGAAAAATTAGTATCTACTTCGTTTAGTATCATTAAACGAAGTTGTGTGAGCATATGTGGGACTCTGTGCACCATTTGTGCATCGTTTTATGAATGGCATATCTAAATAAGTGTTGATTGAGCCCAGCATGGCTTTTTAAAAGAACTTAATTACTGAAATCTCCAGAAATTACTAGGCTAAAAATTACTTCTACAACAATTTCTGGTAAATTATATTCTAATGATTAATAATAAGAATATTACTTATATGTAAATGAAAATAAGGATCTTCAGGGGAAAATGTTTACAAGTATGCATATGTGTGTGTGGTTTGTATGTGTATGATTTCAGGGAAGAAGCAATTCAGAACATGACATGAAATGTTTGCCCAACTAAACATTCAAATATCAGAGAGGAAATTAAAAAAGAACCTCCCAGTGATGACAATGCCTTGGCCATTTCAAATGCACGAGTTTAATCTGTCCTCTGTTTTAAACATATCTGGCAAAACGAATAGAAAAGAAAACATCTGGTTTATTTCAAGAGGGTTTTTTTTTTCTTTAAAAAGTGAAAGAACTTGCTAACTGAAGTCAGTTTGGTGTTAAGGGAATAATGAAGTCTTCAGAAACTTCTCCTTTGATGTTGTCCAATTAAATGCTTATACCTGCTTAATCTTTTAATGTCGGTATGATCAAGATTTGTCTGATCAACAGAGGAAGGGGACTTTAAGGATAGAAAAACTTCCAATGTTAAATCACAACCCTTTGAGGATAGAAATATCTCATAGGTAAGTAATTGGAATCTTTTTGCAATAACTAAAAAATTAAGAGTAGCTGATAAACATACTTAATGATCACTTTTACTAGTGAACCAAGTAAGGGAAAAATACTTTTGAAAATAATATTATGTAAAAAACATAATAAGTAGAAAGCCGACTGACTATAGGATGGTGGCTAGTAGATTAGAATGTGGAGAGGGATGACTGGGTTAGAAATCTCTAACCCTTGTAAACTGTTGGTCTTTGCAACGTCACCTCATTGACCCCTGCCTCACTGTCCTCCATTATACAGACAGGTAATAGTAGTGTCTCTCCCCAACTGTTTCACACATATAAACAGAATTCATATATGTCTAGTGCTTGGAAAGAGCCATGGTGGCTGGTTGGGCGATGCGCTGCGCTGCTAATCACAGGTTAGTGCTTTGAACCCACCAGCTGCTCCACTGGAGAAAAGTGAGTTTGTCAATTTTCACATGGTTTACAATCAACAAAGGTGTGTCTCAAGTTTGTATCTTCACACCCTACTTATTCAATTGTCCATTGAACAAATCATCAGAGAAACTGGATTACTTGCAGAAGAATCCAGCATTGGAAGAAGACTTATTGACAACCTGATATAAGTAGAGGATACAACATTGCTTGCTGAAAGTGAGGAGAATTGAAGCACTTGCTGATGAATATCAAGAATTGAATATTTCGATCTAGATTACAACTCAGTGTAAGGAACACCAAAGTTCTCACTACTGGACCAACACAGAAAATATCATGGTAAATGTAGAGAATGTTGAAGTTGTAAAGGATTTCGTCTTGTTTGGGGCCACAGTCAGAGCTCATGGAAGTAGCAATCAGGGGACCAAACGAACCATTACATTGTTTAAATCTCCTGCACAAGGTCTTTATAGAACTTTGGAAAGCAAAGATGTTACTTTGAAGATTAAGGTGAACCTGAACCAAGCCATGGTACTTCCAGTTGCCTCATATTTGTCTGAAAGGTGGACATTGAATGAAGAAGACTGAAGAAGAATGATGCTTTTGAATTATGGTGCTGGCCAAGAATCTTTAAAGTATTATGGACTGTCAAAAGAACAAACAAACCTGTCGTAGAAGGACAGCCAGAATGCTCATTAGAGGCAAAGACTTCCTCTCATGTACTTTGGACATGTCGTCAGGGGAACCAGTCCCTAGAAAAGGACATCATGTTGGTAAAGTAGAGGGACCATGAAAACGAGGAAGGCCCTCCACAAGACAGATAGACACAGTAGCTGCAACAAGAGGTTCAAAAGTAAGAATACGTAATTGTGAGGATGGCACAGACCCGGGTATGAGTTGCTATAAGGCTTCAATGGCATCTGTCAACTCCTTAAGAGAGGGGTGAGGAATGGCCCAGTGCTTATCCAAACTATGTTCTCTCTAGCTGGGCTCATTGATATTGTTCTGTTTTGTGAATGATGTTCTCCTCCCATGTAATTATTTCTGCCTTGATATGACCTCTCTCTCTTTTTAGGTCCTTTTAAATTAAGTCTTCTACTAATTTAAACTTTAATCTTTCTGAACTGAATCCTTGTTCATTCCATTATAATTGTTATAGCATTAGGCTAGGTTCTCATGAGAAGCAAAGCCAGTGAAATGTGTGTTTGCATATAAAGAAAGACATCTATATCAAGAAAGTGGCTCACACATTTGTATAAGCAGTAAAATCCAGTTCAAATCCATGGCTCGGATGTTAAGCTGGAGGATTTTCCTGCCTAGTGTATCTGCCAGGGCTGATGAAGCAGGAAGCAGGGTAACACATCTGGAAGCAGGAAAGTTACAGTCCCGTGGAAACAGAGAAGGATGCTGATAGCTCCTTGGGTAGGCAGGCAATATTGTGAACCATTGGCTCAAGTCCAAGGAACCATAGGTCAATGAGACAGATGAAGGATCCAGGCCAGGAAAAAGAGAATTAGCTTTTCCACAGAAAACAAAATCAATAAACTGACTGCAATGGAAAAGATACCAACTCAAATCAACCCTACAGGATAGGGTAGAACTGGCCCTCTTGGGTTTCTGAGACTGTCAAATCTTTACAGGAGTTTTTCCTTGAAGAGAGTGATGGTTACAAACTGCAGACCTTGTAGTTAGAAGCTCAATGTGCACCCCCAGTAGCCCCTGTGCCACCAGGGCTCCTGTGTTTCCCTGCAGTCTGTTGATAGAGGAGTAGGTCACGCCCTAGCCTAGATGAACTATCCTTGGTCCTTCCAGTTGGCCTGATTTGAGGTGCAGTGCTCCACACTCTTCTTCCTACAACTAGTTAGCTGCTAATCATGGAGTTGATTACATTATGCTAGATCACTTCAGGGAGGAGGGCTCAAGTGCCAAATTACTAAAGTCTGAGCCCTGGAAAGTTGACAAAAATGAATCAGAAGCTATCCTTCCTCCCAATATCTTTAACAAATTGTTGTTTATAGTTATATAGTTATCAGGCATCAAAGACCCAAAATAAAACAAATAAACAAAAATCATGTCAATGGGAATGAAGGGGAAGGCAAGGTTGAGACCCAAAGCTCATCAGCAATCAATTGGACACCCCCCTGTTAGAACAGCCACAAGGAAGAAAAGAGCCAGTCAGGGTACAGTATAGCACCAATAAAACACACAACCTGCCTCTAGTTCTTTAATACTTCCCCCCCCTACCACCACCACCACCACTATGCTGCCCCCAATTCTATCTTACAAATCTGGCTAGACCAGAACATGTATACTGGTACAGATAACACCTCTAAAACCAGGGATCCAGAACAGATAAACCCCTCAGGACCAATAAATGAAGCAGTGATACTAGGAGGGTAAGGAAGATGGGGGGCAGTGGGGCGGGTCGATAAGAGGAAAACTATCACAATGATGCATGTATGGCCCCCATTCCAGGTGGATAGACAGCAGAAAGGTGAGTGAAATGAGACAGCAGTTGGTGAAAGACATGGGGGGAAAAAAGAATAATTTATAAATTATCAAGAGGACAGGGAGGGATGGGGTAAAAATGAGGAGCTTATTCCATGGGCTCAAGTAGAAATAAAATGTTTTGAAAAAGATGATGGCAACATATGTACAGATGTGTTTGACAAAATGAATATATGTATGGATTGTGATAAGAGTTGTAAGAGCCCCCAATAAAATAAAATTTAAATTAAAAAAAAGAACAACAAATCTAAATTGTTGTACCTCCAACACTTGGGCACAAGGAGTTACGATCATCTATGAAATCAGGATAATAGTGGTGTTTCAGTATTTTGTGGTAATAATTTCTTATTTAAATGGAATGTTAGATTATGTTGTGTGTAATAGCAAGGACTTAACTGAGGATTTGCAACGCAGATGCCTAGATTGTCATGCTGAACCTTTCTGGACTTAATTATTTAAAGTGTCTGTTCCTCAGTTTCCTCAGTTTCTTCATTTATAAAATGGTGACAAGGTTTTGTGAGAAACAAAATAGATTACATATTATAAAGAAATATGTGTGCCAAAGAGGCACAAAAAGATGATTATTATCTGTATTAACAAATGTCCAATAAAATGATAATAATTTATAAATTATCAAGGGTTCATGAGGGAAAGGGAAAAAGAGAGGGAGGGGTAAAATGAGGAGCTGATTCCAAGGGCTCAAGTGGAAAGCACATGTTTTGAGAATGATGATGGCAACAAATATACAAGTGTGCTTGACACAATGGATGGATGGATGGATTGTGATAAGAGTTGTACAAACCCCAAATAAAATGATTTAAATAAAAATTCAGAAAAACAAATGTCCATATTTTAGTTCTTATTGATCTTGTTTGAAACATGTTAATACATTGGGATTCTTTGATAGTTATTCAAAATAGTTAATTTGATGGGACTTCTTGTCAGTGCACCTGAGTAGTATGTTTTTGAAGCCAAGTGTTAATATGTTTTGATGTAATATTAGCAATTAGGATCCAGGCAGAAATAATTTTATTTTTATTGTGTCTACTT